TATTTCGCTGTGCACTAGCAGCAGTACGATGCTGCAGATGCCAGGAGGCTGTGTAGCCTACCTCAGAGGTTCAACACTCTGCGAATCTCCAACCGCGAGAGACTTGAAATGGAAATATGAAGATGCTTTCATTAGTTGCTGACTCCCGAGTCAGATGTTGCTGGTACTGAAGAGGAGTGAGAGTGGTGGGCGAGCTTAGGGCTGCACCAGTCTTCTCGAATACCGGACAAATAAGCCAATCACACGAAATATCCAGAATGCTTCCAGAATGATTTCTGGAAGCCTTCCTACGTTCTAGAAGAGTATCAACTGCAACCTAGATCTAGAACGCTTCCAGAAAGCTTACAGAAGGAACCAGAAGTTTCCAGAAGGCTTCCAGAACCTACAGAAGGAACCAGAAGTTTCCAGAAGGCTTCCAGAAGCTACACACGTTCTACGTAGATGTCCCGGTCAACCTTGACCTAGCATGCTTCCGGAATATTTCTAGAACAAGAGAATACATGCCACGGAGAGATGGATTCTTTTCTACTGCTACGCAGACTAGTTGCTGCAATCGTATTCGAAGGTCAAACCGTGTCCGACTATTGGTGGTCTCGACGCACGATTTTCCTGACAATGTAGTACACACACGCCACCACTTAAGGACCTGGTAAAATTACAGTGTAAGAACTTGACCATAAGAAAAGGTGCTCGACCTCACTGCTACACCAGGGGCAGAGGCCTGCGCTGATTTCCTTTCCCGCACATGTACGCACAGCAGTGTGTCGACGCCCCGTCGTTATCGACGTTAGAAACGTTTTTTTTTGGCAGGGCATCACGCTCCGTGAGGAGGGTGGTTTGGAACACATGGTCTCATATTCTCGAGAAACACTTTGATAGTCAAGAATATGTCCACAACGAACAATTCTCTGCGACTTTGTCACAAGCCCAACCACAACGGTACACTCACAGGTGGACCTCAAGCGGTGAGTAGCCCACCACCCCCTCTCGGAGTCAGATAATACCTAGACCGCGTGGAGCTTGTTTAGGAACGCCAAAATAATTTTAGAAAGCCGCCGACGGTTTGTACATTCCCTCATATTGTTGAGCTCTCGTACGCCTAGATACCCCCCATGTCACGTTCGTCGTTACTAGCTAGGACGTTTCGTCTTTCTTCGTGGTAGTTTGCGTCACCTCGCCATCTCACTCCGTGGCATCCTAGGACAAATACCGTCCCGTCGCGAGGCACTACTGTAGTTTCACGACGATGAGCAGAGAAAGCACGGCGTGAAATTTGAGCACCAACCCGGTGGGGGTCTAACCTCGCAGCTTGTACATACAGTTTAGGAGCGTGTGAAGATGAGGTATCAAAGCACGGACGGACGGATGTATGTAGTGTATTATCTTGGGCGTGTTTGGCGCGTTGTTTTCGCTCGTGGTCTTTCGCGGAGACCTCCTGCTGCATCGCCTTGGGCAAGCGATGCGTGAGACACTATTGTATAAAGTCTGTATAAAGCGGTAGTAATGGTCGTTTTACGTTTTCGATTACCGCAGCAATAGTGCATACTGCTGTTAATTGTATTTATTTTTGTATTGTTTTGTGCTTGGCTTCCGAGTGAGAGCAGCGGGCTTTCCCTTTCCACTTGTTTGCAATCCTCCCTTCCTGTGTGTTTCGGTCACAGGAATCGAAAGAGCATGCGGTTTATCACATCGCACATCTCACGGCGCTTCGCGCTTGGTGATGTGAGAGCCTGGTCC